AAGGGTGTAATAATATACTAATATAATAATAATAATATAAATTATATAATAATGAAATAATAATAATAATGTAATAATGATATAAATAATATTATAATAAAATAATAATAATAAATAAATAATAAATAAAAAATATATTAAACACTGTTTATTAAATTAATTATTTATCTGAATAATTTTATATTTACAACAATCTAGAAACTAATACATGTCTACTAAGAGTTAAGCCTAATGCAATGCAATATATATCATTTAAAAAATTTATGGACAAATAAATATGAAAATAATTTCTTATTCACAAATTTGTAAACATTCACTAAATTATTAAAATATGCGAGCCATTTATCAGGGTATACTTATTATTTACCATTTTATAAAGTTCGAATCAACTGACAAGTTGATTTTTTGCCAACCGTTGCCAGAAATAATCTAACAGTATTTAGTATTTTACTGTCAATTCTCAAGAATATAAAAAATGTAAAAATTCACTTTCATATGTTTTAATTACAATTCTAATAATCGCTTTTTTAAACCCATAAACATTGACGAGGGGTGAAGGTAGTTAAAATAAAAGCGGTGTTATGGAAAAGCGTCCTTTTATTTACGGGCACGAAGGCCTATGTTTGTGCAAGTTTTTACCCCGTTCAGCTACCGAGACTTGATCAGAGGAGAGATAAGCTGCTAAGTTGTGGTCTTTTTGAAGGTGCACCTGTAAACTATTGCTGCAGCTGCATGGATACTGACTAATGATCAGTGTGTTGCCATTAAGCAGATCCTTAATATCGTGCAGAAAAAGGATGGGGCCAAGAAGTGAACCCCGAGGAAAGCCAGCATTAATCTTATGGATTTCCGATGACTGGCCGCCAACAACGACTGTGCGAAAGTACTTAACTGAGAAAACCCTTCCAGTGATTCATACTCGACACGGACGTAGTCTTTCTTTCGTTTTACGTGCCCTGTCCTTTCAGGACGTAGGCGATCATGGCTCTCCACTTCACCCTTTTCCTTGTAGTTCTGTCATCCACTTGCTTTAACCCGCCAAATATGTCATGCGTTGCTTCTCCTTGTCTCTCTTTCCTTCTATTCGACCTGTGTGCATCAGATTCTCCAGGCCCTCCTTTCTCATTACGTGTCCAAGGAACTTCATCTGCCTCTACCCGATGTTAAGTATAAGCCTACTCCTTGTTTGCATACTCATCGTTGCTCACACGTTCGGTCCATGATATCCTCAACAGCCTTCTGTAGAACCACATCTCCGTCGCCTCGATTCTCTTCTTCATCTTTGAGGAAACTGTCCAACATTCGCTGCCGTAAGAGAGGACAGATGTCACGTAACGGTTCAGTATTCTTTTCTTTGTTACCAAAGAAATCCTCCTGTCTTGCAATACTTTGCCCAACTTTTGGAATGCTTCATTGGCCATCGCAATACGTCTACGGATCTCGGTGTCGCAGTTACCGTCCTCTGTCAAGACCCTTCCCAGATATTTAAACTTCCGCTTCTGCTTGAGTTTAGTGTTTCCGGCCTTCAAATCGCATTTCGGGCTCATATGGATAAAAAAAACGCTATTATTCAATGTCATCTCCCATCAAACTGACAATGAGAACGTGTGAACAGGACTTTACGTACTACCGAATTTCAAAATGTTTATATATTCACTATATACAATACATACAAATCAATATATATATATATATATATATATACAGACAAACAAAAGTTCATTTTCTCCAACAAAAGACATTCATTTCTGTAGTTCACTGCTACCAGCAAGCAGAAATATTTCTCCTCCTGATGATGGCCATTTCGGTCGAAACTAGTCGAGGAATCTAAATGGAATAATAATAATAAAAAAACGAAAGAATATTAATCTACAAACCAGTGTGTCTAATGATTTTATTTTTTTTTTTTTATTGTTATTATTATATATATATATATATATATATATATATATATATATATATATATATATATATATATATATATATATATATATATATATATATATATATATATATATATAAAAAAAAAAAAAAGTGTGTTCTAATAACTTGGGCCAATTTTGAATGTGAATTAAGTTTAAATGTCTAATGATCTTTTTCTTTCAGATTTAACAACTTAAATCTTTGGCAATTTCAACCATGGAGAGATTAACAATCAAACAACGTGTTAAAGTTATCGAAGCCTATTACGAAAATGGACGTTCAAACAGAAGATCCCAGGTCGCAATGGCGGATCCTAACCGCGAAGGTTAGAATTGGCGGGAACAAGGAATGCAGTTCGTCCAAGAACTTTTTCACACATTTCCCAAGGGTATTAGCATGTAAGTGAATGTAATGGATTCGACTGGAATTTGAACTCGGCTCTCGGATCCCTCAATCCGAGCCGCTATCCATGACGACACCGTGAGCCAATAAATTAAACGGTAAACACGTGAAACCTGCTAAAAATTGTATTCTGTTGTTCCTTTTCAGATAATGATAATTATTAGAATAAGTGTTG